CAGTGGTAAGATGGATGTATCTGTGCTGTCATGGAAAGATCTTAGATCCATTTTAATAAGTGATTATATTGGTTTGTTAGGGCTGCCACAGCAAAGTACCACACCTGAATGACATAAACAACAGGAATTTATTGTCTCATAGTTTTGGAGTCTGATGCTTAAAGAGTAAGGCATTTGCAAGGTTGATTCCTTCTGAGGGCTGTAGGGAAGGATGTTTTCCAGGCCTCTCTCCTTGCCATGTAGATGACTTTCTTCAGTCCACGAGTGCTCACATTGTCATCCCTCTCACTCATATCTCTGTATCTAAATTTCTCCTTTTTATAATGACTCCCTTCATATTTGATTAGGGCAAGCGTTAATAACCTCATTTTAACCTGATTGTTAATATCATCTGAAATAATACTATCTCCAAATAATGTCACATTTTAATTTTAACATACAATTTTGGGGAAGATGAAATTGAACCTATAATAGTGGTAAAGGCAAGCAGCAGATCTATATGCATATTATTACACATGTATAGTTTTATATGTATACATGTACATATATACACAGCACATACATGTGTGCTATTACATATAATGTATGTTTACATTATGTGTATATATATTAGCACATCTGTATTTCTAAAAGCCTAAAATCATCTTTTAAAATTTACATACCACATTGTTAATTGTGGAAACCTCTGAGAAGGGGCCTGAATTTTGGCGCAACTTTCTAAAGGAAAGAAATGTGATTTCTATGTATTTTTAGAATTTTTTTTGCAACAGTAATATATGCAGTATTTATTTAGAAGAAAAATATTAAAGTAAGCCCAAGAAAAGAAAGAGGAGCAGCATAGTAGTCTGATAAAGTAACACTAAGCTGATGGAACAAAAAAATCGCTGAAATTATAATGTCTTAACCCAAGTTTATTTTTGTGCACATAAATTCTAATTTGAGTTGACACGGTGCTATGTGTTGAATTGCAGCCCTCTCCCCAAATTCATTTATCCAAGTCATAACCTCCAGTACTTCGGAATGTCACTGTATTTGAAGACAGGGTTTTCGAAGAGGTAATTAAGATACAGTGAGGTCCTATAAGTAGAACTTGATTCAGTACGACTGGTGTCCTCATAAGGAAAGGAGATTAGGACACAGACACAAAGACCAAGGGACAATCATATAAGAATTCAGTGAGACGGTTGTCATCTGCAAGCCAAGGAGAAGCCACAGAAGAAATCAAACTGGCCAACATATTGATCTTGGATATCCAGCTTCCAGAAATGTGAGAAAATACATTTCCATTTTTTTAAGTCACCCAGTTTGCGATATGTTGTTATGGTATAATAAACTAATATACAGTGGGTCCTGGCTCTCATGTCGCCCAGGAATCCAAGCTGCTTTCACCTTATAGTGTCACATCACAACAGATGTTAACTCCTAAACAGAAATGAAAGCATTGGAATGATGCACTGGCTTCTGTCTAACTACAAATGAACCACCCAGGAAGACAAGGTAGACAAGGAAAAGATGGGTACTTGCAATCTCTCCCATACGCCATTGTGGTGCTCAGTTAAAAGCAGCTATTGTAATTCATGACAGTAAGTCTTTTATTTTCTTGGAATGGTTCAAGGGAATACCACCATTGCCTTGAAATCTTCCAACTTATTCTTGTTCTTATGAGGTGACTGGCAGTTTGAAATACAGGATTAAATCTAGCTTTAAAACAACTCCTTGAGTCTTGGCAGAGAAGATCAACCTTATTCCCTTAATAGCACTTTTCTGCACTGTCCTTTTTATAACCTATATGATTTCTTTAGGCTGAAAATTCTCTCAGTCTTTTTGGTGTATGATAAATATCCTACTCTGAGAACCTCTGTTACCCTCCACATGACTGAACATTCCTGAACAGCTGTACATGTGCCTATGGCACAATGCAAACCAGAATTTTCCTACGAGGCAGATATACAGACAAGAGGGAGTGGAAAGATGGTTAACCATTGTTTGTTTTTCTCATTAGAGCTAGCATATCTGACATGGAAATCTTGTCACCTCCTAGGCAGTCTTTGAGATTGTTTTTGTTTTTTAGAAATTCAGTTTCTAGTAGATCATTTACAAAGTGATTTTATAGTCTTTCTACATCTACAAAGATTATGAGGGAAATGTTGGTTTTTGATCATTGATGAAAGCTCATTCAAATATGTTTGGGTTCAGTGCACTGTTTTAAGTAATGCATCTCATTAAAATTCTACCACAAATATCGCCTATTAGGATTCTTTCAAAAACGCTATTTCTGACTTCAGGATTACATCTTTAAAACTAGTATATTATGTGGCAAATCAAATTCTACTCACTAGTCTATGTGGAAATACGTTGAGATTGTGTTGAAGATAATCAGGGTAGGTACTGAAATGTCACTAAACTGAATAGTCACACTGAAGGGCTGTTATCACAGAGGAGCCAGGGTGAGAGATGGATGAGTCAAGGAACTTCTGCATGGAGTAAGAATGGTCTATGTCAAGGGAAGGTGTCAAGGGAAGGACAGGTGATTCAAGGATTTTGCATTGGGACCAGAGCACAGCATTCAGAGGTAGAGACACTAGTGACAAGCTAGTCTACTGGATATGTTCCAGAGTTGCACAAGAGAACATACAGGGAAGATCAAAAGACAGTGCTGTAATGTAGGAAAGTGATGGGGCTGGACAAAACTGCCAACACCTGAACAGAGTCAGCGCTTAAGAAACCTTGGACTTAGAACAGGAGGACTTTAGGTAAAGAAAGCCAATAATGATCCCTGAATTATATTTTGTTCTCTTTGTCACCTTCATTCTTTAGACCAGGTGTCCCCAAACTTTTTACACAGGGGGCCAGTTCACTGTCCCTCAGACCGTTGGAGGGCCGCCACATACTGTGCTCCTCTGACCACCAATGAAAGAGGTGCCCCTTCCTGAAGTGCGGCGGGGGGCCGGATAAATGGCCTCAGGGGGCCGCATGCGGCCCGCGGGCCATAGTTTGGGGATGCCTGCCTGCTTTAGACCTAACTTAAAACTTTGGCTACAGGGTTCATCTTTATGCCACGTGAGAGACGTGCCATAACAACATATCGCCAGCATGCAACATTAAGCAGCATGAAGATAAGTGACTTAAATGTTGTCCTCAGGCTGGGAGAATTGGGGACAGTGTAGGCCTAGGTAAAATTGAGGCCAGGGCTCCAGTCTGAGTCACATTCTACTAATGTGATATTGGGGAATTTAAGGAGATATGACACTTCCTCAGGCTGAGAAGAGAGGGGACAGTATGCATCTAGATGAATTTAGAGCAAGGCTCTGGTCCCAGCCCTGTCACTTTCTACTCATGTGATCTTGCAGAATTTATGCAGCACTATGAGCCTCAAGTTCTTCATCTGTAAAAGTGGTTTCATAAGCCCTGCCTTATAGAATTGCGGGTATGTATGTAGTATGAGTAAAACACCTGGCACAATGCCTGGCATATACTGGAAATATAACAAATGACAGTTGTTATCAATATGATTATATCCCCAAAAGCTACCACTGTCTTTTGTGAAAATTCAGCTGTTTTTGTTATCCAAAATATGTCAGCATATGTAGTTGAATATGTCACAGAGATCCAGCTTAACCAAAAATTCAGCTTCATAAATAAAACTCAGTACATTTTCTTTCTGAAATAATACATTGTATAATTTGGGTGAGGGGAGAATTCCCCAAGCGGAATGCAACTCAATTATCCTGGAATTTGAGTCAAAGACCAACTCCTTTTCACCTTCTGCATTGCTCGCCCATCCAAACCACTACTATTGTCCTCTACTAAAAATCTAGCCCTTGGTTAGAGTTGGTCAATTTACATTCAAAATAACCTAATCAAATATCCTTTCCCTCAGGTGGACTCTGGCTCTCTTAAGTAAGGGAAATGAGTGCCAGCCTAGAGGGTTCTGGGAAGCACTTCAAGGGATTATCATTCTATTTCTGCAAGGATCATTCTCAAACACTTGCAGATGATGGGTATCAATCACCTAGTTTGGCACTGTGTTCAAGCTCACCAGTATAAAAGCCACAGCATACCTTCCATTAGTTTCCCAAGTGAAGACTCCTCTATGCCTTATCCTCCATCCAGAAGCAACTGCTCAGAGCAGTTTTCCATTCCAGGTTTTTCTCTCACCTTTTGAGAGTCTGGTTGCTGACAACACCCAGCTTCATAACAATCAACTCCCACAGAAGCAACTGCAGCTTTCCAAAACCCCAAGCTGCCTTAGCTCAGGGTCTCTATAACCAAAGGCCCACATTGGAGCCTCACTTCCCCAGTAATTTTTAAAGCTGTTCTTTAAATTGTAGAGAACATCTTGCCACCTTCTTGATATGGCTTCTGCTCCAAGAATCTCCTGTTTTATGGGTAGGGATAAGTTATGCTTTTCACAATATCTCCACTATGAAGAGTGCCTTCCAAAAGTGTATGCTTAAATAATGTTCAGCAAATAAAGGAATCAGTGAGGCTTTCTTGTATTCAGATTTAATTTCTGCTACTTTATTGAATATGCCAAGCTAAGCAAGTTATCTGTATTTGTTTTTTAAGACCAAGAGAATAAAGGCTAGGATGAGATGCAAATATTAGCCATCCCTTATTATGTTTCACTGTTTAACTGCTGAGTACTTTCACATTTTAAAGAAAATTCTTATTACAATACCACATTACCCTGTTACAGATCACAAAATAAGAGAGAAGGTTTTCCCAATTTTTTAACAAAATATAAAACTTACTTTTAAGTCAGAGAAACGGCAATACGGGTATGAGTAATATTCATAAACTAGGATTCTGAAACTAAACCTGCTATTAAAAGGAAAATCATTTGAAAATAGCCAAAAGAAAAAACAGGTAAATCTATAGACCACCCACATAAAACAGAAATGCAGAGAACAGTTTTCTCTCTAGCCCTACCCGGGCCCTCCACTATGAAGAACCTCAATGCCTTCTTCAAACACAAAAGGAAGAAACTACCCTAGACTTCACTCAGGATGGGAAAAGTTGCTTGACATGAAACTGAAGCTTCCACTGGCCATGTCAGTGGCATCATCTGTAGTGGAAATTATGGCCTGGGCACTCACTTCTGCATCTTTCAAAGCATCCTTATACCAAGATGGAAAGTTAATAGGGACAGTGTTGTTCAGCTTGTCCAAAAACTCTAGTACTTTCCACTTTATGCTTTCTGAATGGGCTCTCGGACCCCATAGGAAGTCATAACGTGGAGGAGAACTGTTGGACACCTCCTGATATTTCAGGTATTGTTCCTCCACCCAAACTTTAGTGAGGAGCTCCCCAGGCTCCCCATAGACGAAATGCTCCCTCCCAGCATACACCCCTATTGCATTCAGCACTTCCCAGATGGCCGCCTCAGAAGCACAGCCACCTTTTATGAAGATTATACTCAGAATAAGAATCAGGAGGCTGTTTTTGGGCATGCCCTGGTCATCACTACCCATGTTGGTGGGGTCTACGGTGTTTTCAAATGCATAGAAGTGGTCAGGGTCCACTTCTGTCAGGGCAAGGCCAAAAAGAAGCTCCATGAACTCACGGGCTTTCTCGAATATCATAGGAAGGTAGTTTTTGTACTTGACGGCAGTCATCAGCATCTCTGCCTCTGTTATAGGCTCCCCTGCTTCATATTTGAGGAGAAGGAACTGCACTAACTCAGCCACCTTTTCATCTAGCTTATGTATGAACAAAGGCTCACTGTCTAGCAGGCCCTGAAAGGTACTTGTATCTTCCTCTTTTTGGCTGCTGAACTCTTCATTGAACGGGATCCCTGAAATAAAGGAGGAGCAGGAGCCCAGAGGATTCTGGGGAGGACACTGTGAAGGACCCAGTGGAGGACTACTGGGAGTGCTTGGGGGAAGACTTGACATCCCAGCAGATGACACTTCTTCCTCCTCAGGACCACCAAGAATCAGAGAGGATGAGGAGGAAGAAGAGGGGGAACACAGTAAGTAGAAAGTGGAAGAGGAAATGGAGGAGGCGTCATCATTTGTGGCATCGTGTGCATCTATCCACTCTTCTATCACAACTGGGTTCTGGGAGTCTTCCTCAGAGTTGGAGGATGGACTGCTTGGAGAGAGTAGCATGACAACTTCTTCAGGAGCAGCAGATAAACGTGTCAACAGGGATATGAATGATGGGATCCAATAGACCTGTAGAAGAGAGTGACAGTGTGAGTGGCCTCAGCTGAGAAATGCACCCATGATGGCTCTGCCAAAGGCCAACTTACAGCTCTTCTTCTCTTAAGATGGTGCTCTAGGGTCTCACAGGTTGCCTGTCTTCCTAGGAGGTTTCTCCCCTGGTAACCTATAGGAAGATGTTGAGAAAGCACCTCAGGGCACACTTGGCAGGCAGAGCCTGGGGCACCAGGAATGATAGTAGGTGGTTAGGGCTGGGTGCTGCTGGGTCTGCTACCAAGGGGATAGCACCCTTGGTACACTGTCAGGGTGTGCACTCACCTTGACTCCTGGCACTGCCTGGGCCGCCTCTGCTGACTTTAGGAAGTGCAGCTTAGACTCAGTTTGTCACCACGTGGTTCCTGGAACACCTGCAAGAGGAAGTAAGGAAGCCCCTCCGGCTAAGACTGCAAGCAGAGCCTTGGACCTGCCAGGGTTGACAGCTGGAGCTGGCCAGACATCCAAAGCCCCACAGTTCTGGGCTGCATGACCCCCTCAAAATTTAATTTAATTAGCATTGTCACATTTTCTCAGATCGGGCCATGTCCCTACCAATCTGCTGGCCTGAGGCAAAACCTCAGAGCAACCTCCACATCCCTGAGAGCAGAGGGAGGTAGTGAGGAGGCAGCCACGTCCCATACTCTACCACGGGGGCAGTCGGGGCAGCCTCACATCTGCTCTGAAGCACATGTGACACCTCAGTCCTCACTCTTATCCCCAGCAGGGCCTGGGAATCTTCCCTCTGCCAACCGGAGGCAGCTGCCTCTGCTGACTTGCCGTGGGACCCTCAGACCAAGGCCTCCCCCTCCCCTACATCCCTCACTCAGAAATAAGGCGCCGCGGCTCAGCCTGAGGCAACTGGGGAGCTCTACCAGGGCTGATATGAGGGACAGAGTGGGAATCTCTGGGAATCTGCCCTTTGAGGTGGGGGTTCCCTCAATTCTCCTCAAAGTCTCCCTATTTATTCCCTACAGGGCCGGCACCACCTCCTTCTGTCATGAGGACGCATCCCTCAGCTCTTGGCGGCCATTTTCCTGTCTGGGACCTATGAGTCCCACGGCCAAGGCATGGTGGGCCAGAGCTGCTTCTCTATGGTAGGAGGTCCCTCAGTTCTCTCTCAGGGCCCTGACCTTGAGGACTGGCCAGTTCTAAGACTCTTTCCTCCTCTGACCTGTGTCGAGCCGCCTGACAAACCCCTCAGGTCTTTCAGACTCCCCAGATGGAAGTCGGGAAAGCACATCCGGGAACCCTGCCGGAGTTGACCTGGGCTGACGTCAGGGGCAGCGTGGGGCGGGGCCTCCTCGGGTCCTTCAGACTCCACAGATGGAAGTCGGGAAAGCACATCCGGGAACCCTGCCGGAGTTGACCCGGGCTGACCGCAAGGGCAGCGTGGGGCGGGGCCTCCTCAGGTCTTTCAGACTCCCCAGATGGAAGTCGAGAAGGCACATCCGGGAACCGTGCCGGAGTTGACCCCGGCTGACGTCAGGGGCAGTGTGGGGCGGGGCCTCCTCTCTGCGGAGGAACCACCCTCCCCCACCACTTCTCAGCCTCATTTTCATCCCTCGCCTCTCCACTTCTTTTTCATCCCTCCTTCCCCGTTCCCAGATATGCTCCAAGCCTTCCTGCTCACTCCCTATGCCTTACCGACCTCTTCCCTCCCACCTCCACTGTACTTGACTCCCCCACTCCCCTTTTCCAGGGCTGACAGCAAGGAGTCTGGATGCAGCCTGGGCCTCCCCTACACAGTAGTGGGTTACTGTCCTTCCACAGAGTTCTCTTGTTTGTTGGTCAGCCCTGGGGCTCCTCCCTCTGCTTAACTGAAACTGCCTTCCTCCGAGAAAACCTCTCCTTTATGCTGACTCCCAAAATGGAAGTCAGAAAGTTGTACATCTGGGGACCCTGATGGGGTCCTCCAGAGCTGGCAGCAGGCATAGGGACAGGGGAGGGGCACTAACAGCCTTGGGTGTTCCCTTCCAGCCTTCCTGAGGGGCTGCACCTGGACTCCTGAAACTGCCTGGACTCACTGCCTCTGTGGGTCAGAGTGTTTCACCTCCAAATAAGCCCCTCCCATCCCTGAGACCTGCTAGGTGCAAGAGAGGTAGAAACACATCCATGCACAGGCAGGTCTCCACTGCTTCTATCTGAAATGGGGTGGAAAGTCTCCTCAGTCATCCTCTATTACTTCTTATGGGGCCTCCACTCCCTCCTTTTCCTGACCAGATGGCAACATGTTTTCTTTCAACTGTTAAAATCCATTTCAAATGTTTCCACTTTACTGCTGAGTGTGAAGTTAATACCATCTCTCACCAGCCTATGTTAAAAGCTTCTTTATTATTTTCTTTTCCTATCCTAATCCCTGAAAAACTCATTGTATTTTCAGCAGCCTGTGATCCTTTTAAAAACTAATACAAGGTTAAAGTCTTAAATACACACATCAGATTTAAATAGCATGTGAAGTTATATATATTTTGGAAAATGCATGGAGTCCCAGATCTACCAACCAAGCCAAGCATCATAATGACCAGTTCCATCTGCCTAAAAATTTCCTGTATATCCTGTTTGACATCAATCACTGCACTTCTACAAAGCTCTTTTCAACTCCATTCTGTTTTCAGTCCCTACAGTTTTAACTTTTCCAATTTGTCATATGACTAGGTTCAGAAAATACTCACTTAAAAGTATACCTCTACATTTCTTATCACAACTAACAAGGAATGAGAATATGTGTTATTCCATATCCTCTGTTACATTTAGTATTTTAGATTTTCAGATTTTAGCCCTTCTAATAAGCCTGTATTGGAATCTTCTCTGGTTTTTGTTTGCATCTTCCTAATAACATATGACACTGTTCATCTTTTTATATGCTTTTGTTTTCAGATTGGTATATCCTCTTTGGTAAAGTGTCTATTCAAATCATTTGCATCTTTTTATAAATTAATAAACTTCATTTTTAGAGCATTGCTAATCCAAAAATACAAAGAAAAAACTTCATCAAGTTTAGAGTTCCTACATATCTACACCACCAGCTCTAACCTGCTCCCTTGCACACACACACAAAGTATCTCTGTTTATTTACATTTTGTATTATTATGACACATGCGCTACAACTGATGGGCCTATATTGATATCTCATTATTAAGTTGATTGTTTACGTCACAACTTACTCTTGATGCTGAGGATACTATAGATTTTACTAAGTGTTCAATGGCAAGTATTCATCATTATAGTATCACACAGAATTTTTTTGCCATCTTGGATCTCCTGTGTGTGCCACCTAATTATCAATCCCCTTTACTCCAACCCCAACCTTCAGCACCTGGAAAGCACTGTTTTTAGTGTATTCATAGTTGCCTGTTCCAGAATGTGGTATGATTGAAATCATACATTATGTAGCTGTTTTAGATTTTATTCTTTCACTTAGCAATAGGCTTTCACGATTCCTCCAGGTCAGTCCCGCTAACAGCGACTGAAAGTTCCTGTTGCTCAACATATGTATCAACATTTAATGTTTCAGTGTTTGGAATATCAGCCATTCTCCTAGATGTAGAATGCTGTCTCCTAGGTGCTTTGATTTGCAATTCTCTTAATGCCATATGACATGGAACAGTTTTCTTATACATGCTTATTTTCCTTATTTTCTTATACATGCTCAGATTTATTTGCCCACTTTAAATTGGATTTCTGTTTTCTTATGGTTCGGTTTTCAGAGTTTTGTGCATATTAAAAGACATATCTTTTATCAGATATGTGTTTCACAGAACATTTATCCCTGTCTCTTGCTTGTCTTTTCATCATCTTAGTATTATCTTTTCACAGTGGAAGTTTCTGATTTTATTAGAGTCCGATTTTTTCTCTTTTTTCTTAGATTGCTGATATTTTTAGTGTTTCGTCTGAAAAATTCTTCATTAAATCCAAGGTCACCTGGTGTTTGCCTCCGTAAGTTTGAACAACATTTAAAATTGTGATAAAATGATTGCGAATAAATGAATCATTTCCCCATGTACAAATGTGTGAGGAAATTAGTGAAACATTTTAGGAAAAAGCCCTCAACATTATAAAAAGTATAAAACATTCATACCCTGTTCACACTGACTCAGTTTCCACATTAATATGCATTCCTTATAAGTTATTATATGCATTTATCCCAGAATTTCTGCTGATTGTATTAATTATAGCAACCAAAGAGAAACATGTGTGATCATGAGTATAAGGTTTATTGCTGAGGTAAAATGAGGAAACTGAGGCAAGTATAAGAAAATGAGAAGCGAATTTATTCAGCTCCCAGGGAGGTTCTGTGGTCCAGGAAGGAGCCAAAAAAGTCATGCCCCGCTGTTTAGGGCATGGGGTTTTATGGGGAGGGAAGGCAGTTGATTGGCTGTTGGGGAAACAAAGTGAAGGTAATTTCGTTGGCTGTTAAGAAGCAGGAAATGCCTGGAGCTAGCTGCCATTGGTAGGTGGGAAGGACCTTGGGTAAGTGGGCCAACCAGGGGCATACAGGGCAGACTGCTACCGGGCAGGGTTTAGTGGGGCTTCTTTAAAAATTCTTTTGCAGGTTTTTTCAACAGCGGGCTAGGGGTTGGATGCATAGTTTAGTGCTGAGTGTGGGCTTGGGTATGGTATGCAGAGGTAAATGTGGGGAAGCCATGTGGCGAGGCCAGAAAAAGAGCTTGAGTGATGATGTAGTTATCAGGCACAGAGAAGGATGGATGCGTCTGTTTGACTCCCTGTGACCAGCCTTACAATAAGGTGGAGATTTGTTCAATGTGTTAATGTAAGAAATAAATTGGAATTCTAGAGAGTAGTCCAAATCTAAGATAGATGTATATGTGCTGTCAGGCAAAGATTCTGGATCCATTTTAATAAGTAAATATACTGGTTTGTTATGCCCACCATAGCAAAGTACCTCAACC